ATGTTTTACTGTGACATGCATATCCATGGAATACCAAAAGTAAAAGAAAACATCATAATATTTAGGAAACTTGGCATAATACACATAATTTTACCCATTATGTCACATAATTGATGTATTTTCTTTTGAACTTTGCTCAGACAAAGTGAAACAGGAAGTGACATCAAAGGGGAACTCTTCGAGAAAGAAAACTCTTTGGTTTTTGTTTATTGAAACAGTATTATTTGAACTATGACTCTTCCTCATCTCTCTAWTATAGTAATTAAAATAATCTAAATAAACATCAGATTCTTCTCTACAGTCTGTTATCGGCCTTTGTAGCAATGCTCTGTTCACATTCAGACATTCCCCTTTGACATCACTTCCTGTTACTTCACATGCAAATATCTCAACAAAAGTTCATCTCAGCCGCATGAAATCTTTTGCACAATATGTTGTCAATGTTAGCTTTCCAAAAATGCATTCATATTTATTACAAAAATTTGATGTCACGTGCACTTTGAACACTGTAATAAATCAATACCTTCTGATTTCAGTTGGTCAGGAGTTCTTAGGGTTTTTATTTGCACCAGTGTCCTGAGTGAGTGAAGTTACTTTGTGCAGCAGAATGATAATAAGTGTTTAATGGAGTGTGTCGGTGTCATGTTTAGGTGTTGCCATGGTGACTCATCCTCAGGCTGAAGTTTCAGGGAGTTTTTTTTTATCATGAAGATGTTGGCGCTGTGTGTGCACGGATTGACCTTTTTCCAGAAACTATTCAAAGGTCATGTCAGTGTGGGGCGGCAGCTGATTCATGAATGACCTGAGGTGACTTTAGAAGAGACACAAGGATAAAGCTGATTAAATAATTTGTTGTTTGCTGAATCATCAGCAGGCTAAAAGACCAGAAATGGAACCAAATGTTCTTTTTTTACAATAATAAATTCAGCCACAGGATTTAAATGATCAACAATAGAAAGTATTTCAATGCTGAGTTTAGTCAAAGCTCTCATTTAATGCTTCTGTAATTTCCTTTTGGGATCAATAAATTATTTTGAATTGAATTAATGTCCTCTGCTAAATTTAGGCCACATTTAGCCCAAGGAATTTTAAATGAACCTTCCTGTTACCAGCAGTGTTGGAGCTATAGTTAAAATTTAACTAAAAATATAAAATGTACATTTCCTGCAAAAATGCAGGGTCAATGCTTAATGCTGAAAGATTTTTGCTGAATAGCTAAAAAAGCCAAAACTAGCATAAATGGCTAAAATAAGTAGCTAGAATAAGCACAAAAAATCAGAAAGAGCACATTTGCTGAAATAAGCACAGAAGATATAATTATTAGAAAAAGGTGAGTTTTGCTGAAATAAGCTCAAATTAGCTAAAAACACATAAAGCAGCTGAAATTAGCAGAAATTAGCAGGAAACAGCTAAGATAAGCATAAACAGCTTATAATAGAAAAAAGTTAATAGAAGCACAAAAAAATTGAAATTAGCAGAATAGCAGAAAAGGTCAGAATGTTAGCTTAAAAAAGCAGAAAAAACTAAAATAAGCAAATTAGAAGCTGAAAGAAGTGAAAATTAAGACAAAGAAATAAAAAAAAAGCTGAACCACAACAAAAGGTAAAATGTACAGGAAAGATTTATAACTATTTTTGAGCATTTTAAGAATGTTGAAAACATCTCAATTCATTTTCAATGAGGAGAAACATGGCAATAAATGCTAAATATATCTAAAAGTATAAGTTGCTGAAATATCAGAAGTCATAGCCAGAGGGGCTGAATGTTTTGATATATGAACTGTTGAAGTAGCACAAAAAATGCAGAATGAGAAAAATGCACTGAAGACTAAACTCAGTATTGTATGTTTGATAAGCATTCACAATATTAATTCTCCAGTAGTGATTTAAAGCATGTGTAAACTGTTTTTTGCTATATGTCGAATTAAATGTCATGGTTGGAATATGATAAAAAAAAAAAAAAACAACAACTTCATGCCCATTGTTTATAATCTTGACCAAAAATGCACAAATCAGACATGTCGTAACAGATATGTCAAATTTATCCCCGGTTAGACATCTTTGGATCATTTTAAATGATATTTTAAGYTGCATTTTTCAACCAAAAAGATCATTATAGTGATGTGTGAAGACACTGTAATAAAAATAAAAGCCAAGAAATGACAGAGTGCAAAGAACAATCAGTTCCATTATTTCATAACGAGCAATATTTCGCTTGCTGCGGCTTTTCTCTCTCTCTCTCTCTCTCTCTCTCTCTCTCTCTCTCTCTCTCTCTCATACACACACTCACCTTACATGTTTGACCTCTCATTCTCTGTGTCATAACTGAGTAATGTTGATGCATTTTAATGCTGCTCTAACATCTTCAGCCGCATTCTGAAGTGATACTATGAATAATGGAATAGTCAATATGAAAATGTGTTGTAGTGAATCAGGATTTTCCCCCTCAGTCCTCCGTCTCTTCTTTTTTTTTTCTTCTTCTTTTCTTTTTTTTCATCCTGCAGTTGTGGGATGAAACTAGTGGTTGGATACAAATCTGAGAATTCACGTTATTAAATTTCCCTCTTTTGTTTCGCTGTAAAAAGGAAACCCATCTGCGTCTCGTATCCTGCCTCTTCTGCTGCAACGTTTGGTTTGCCTGTCTTCTGCACCTGCTTCTTTTGCCTCTTTATGAAGCAGTCTGTCATATATAAAAAACGATTACGTGTTATTACTCAAAAATGTGACCATGCTCTGAATGCAGCTGTTAAAACTTGACGTTTTTGCTGCTGTTCAGCCTCTTGCGRTGATTGTGTTCTCGAGGCTTTGGAGGGATATGGATGTCACCTTGGACTGAGGAAACTTGTGACTGACTATTTTCTGACATTTCCAACACTAATGAGTTGCAGGGCTGGAAACGCTGAACCATATGGGCCTTTGCAGCAGCAGCAGCAGCAGCAGGTGCATGCAGGTTACATGATCAAAGCACCATGAGATGGGATTTACGTGAATAGGAAAGAGGATTATTCTCTGTGCGTATAAAACATACGAGTCGTGGCGGTTTYCTCCACATTAGGTCACCTTTGAGAGCTCAGAGCATGAAAAGCTGCAGTTTGGGTCTGAAATAAAACAGCAGTGTGTGAAGTCTAGCTGCGTAGAGTGCCTACAGTAGGTGAGGCTAAAAAAAATGCTTGTATTCACTTTAACTCCTTTGTTTCTGTCTCTGCACACCTCTCCGCTGCGTGTCCCTCCTCCCTTCGTGTCCTCTCCCCCTCCCCTATCCCTCCCTCCCTCCCTCTCTCTCTCTCTCTCTCTCTGTAGTTGTTCTACCGTGTGACAGACGAGAGGGCTCGCCAGGCGGAGCTCTACTTGGTGGGGATGGTGTGCTACTATGGCAAGCACTACTCCACCTTCTTCTTCCAGACTAAGATACGCAAGTGGATGTACTTTGATGACGCTCACGTCAAAGAGGTGAGACAGGTTGTTTTGTTTTAAATATATGTATTTGAGTTTTTTTTTACTGCAGCATGAGTAGGATGTACTGTGCAGCAGCTGGTGCATCCCTGAGCTGTGTCTGTGCGAGGCAGAGTCACAGGAACTGTTAAAGTGCTGCATGATCAGGCTTTTTGAGTGAGGATTAATTATGTGTTAAGTTTTCTCTGCTAAATTTGAGTGATGGTGGTCCACGAGGATGCAAATAGACGTCCTTGACTCTCCTATCAGTCTCACTTCACACTGATGATCATTTTAGATGATTGAGCAAGTGATGAAGCGCGACGATGCGATTAAATCACACATTAGCACAAATTATATTTGACCTTCCGCTTTTGGTGGCATTTGTATAAAGTTATCATCTAATGCAGCTAGAGTTGTTGTTGTTTTTTTTATCTCTCTTCATCTTTGCATTTGCATGTTCTGCTGCACCTCCAGATCGGCCCAAAGTGGAAGGACGTAGTGTCTCGCTGTATCAAAGGCCACTATCAGCCCCTGCTGCTGCTCTACGCTGACCCCCGAGGGACGCCAGTGATACTGCAGGAGAGCCCAAACCCTTGTGCCAGCTCCAACCCGCAGCTGGAGCTCCAGCACTGCAGCAGCAAAGCTGGTTACGACAGCGAAGACTCGGGTACGGCAGAAATGAGCACTCTGCCTCACATCAGATGTGATTACTTTGTCTTTATCAGCTGCTGGTGTGAGATGATTCAGCTGTAAAGCTCTGACCTTCAGTGCTATAATCCAACCTCTGCTTTTGTATACTGCAGAGCCTGAGCTCCTTTCCCAGCCATCGAACTGTAAGCAAAACTAAGCGTGTGCAGGATTGCCTAAAAGGTCATCCATTCTTCTTTTTTTTTTCTTTCAGGTCGAGAGCCATCCATCTCCAGCGACACTCGCACCGATTCTTCAACGGACAGCTCCAGTCATCGCACGTCTCGCAGCCGACCCCTGCACCAGTCCACGGGCAGCCGCCTCTCCAGTGAATCCCAGACCACTGTGGTCTGCAACTACGACATCGGCCCACCGCCGCTTGGTGCTGAGGCTGGAGGTAAAACTGGAAGCACCGTTAGCTCGTTCAGAGTTACCATCTGGTCCCATTCAGTAACTTTTAGTTGGAAATTTGTCTAAAAACACTCAAATTTTGGAAAAGATTTGTAGACGTTTTATGGGCTTGACTCTAAAATTCTGCTGAAATGTTTGCAATGAGCCTAGATTTCAAAAGGAAAGACAATAGTTATAAAAGATGACTAATCACGAGTCAAACTTGAAGCAACTAAGCTGAAAATCCATAAACTGTAGCTTTTTATACACTGCATCATTCTAAATGAGGTTAGTATTAAATAAATTCTTTCTTTTTTTATTCATTGGAAGGACAGCATAAATGAAGTATTAAATGTAATTTTAATCAACATAATAATGTTATAGCAACAAAATCCCTCCGCTGTCCAAAACTGAAGCCAAATTTCAGTTTTTTGGGTGCTCACATGTTTTTATCTCATATCTGTAAAATACACAAGTCGATGCCATGGTTCCAGGGAGTGAGAGTTCACTGAGCCACACTTGTTGTTGATGCAGTTAAGAGCAAACAGAAGTCAGTTGGCAGATTTTTTTCTTTTTTTTTCATTACTGCAGTCTCTTCAGGTTCTGTGCCTCATTAGTGGGTTTTTCTAACATTTGTTTGCGCTGCTGCCTGCAGAATTGCTCCCTGTGGGATAAATATAAAAGTTATTGGTTTTACTTGCTCCCCTGCCCGTTTTTTTCCCCTTCTCCCACGTTCAGAGTCGGCGGTGGAGGGTGATCCTCGCCACCCCTCTCCCCCGCTGCAGGAGTACAAGGAGACGGCCGTCTTCCTCCTCTCTTCGCGCCGGCCCCTCACCTCCTCCTCCTCCTCCTCTCGACCGCTGTCCTCCTCGTCCTCGTCGGGGGTCGGGGGCTGCGAGGGAGGGGCGGGGGGCCCCCATTGGGAGGATGAGAGCACGAGCAGCGAGAGCAAGTCCAGGTACAGCGCCGCGCCAACTGACACCCTGCTACACTCAGGTCGTGTGACGGTTCACTGATCCATAATGAAAGCTGTAAGCCTGTAACGTTGACCCCAACCCTCATTGAGTTTGTCCTATGAATCCTGACAGGTCAGAGCAGCACACACAGGAAACCAAGCTAATTCAGACGCAGCACAATAATGCGGGGAGGGGTATGGCCTGTCTCCACCAATCATTAGGCGTGAGGTGGGGTACACCCTGGATGGGTTTCCAGAGAAATTCTGTGAACAGATAGTCTACCTCCCAGATAAAAAACATTTTTTTACAACAACAACCAAAAAAACTGAATGGGTTGGGGCTCATTGGCAGACTGGACGGGACTCATGTGGCCCTCAGGCCACCAATCGCCTAATTCTTCAACTTTAAAACTTTAATTATCTTTAGTTACCTACTCTTTCAGATACTGGCACAAAGACGTGACCGATATAGAAAATGTCTGAGTAAAAGAGCGCCCGGTCTCAGTTATTACTTTATTTTTTACATGTTTACAATCCAACAATATGCGAACGCGCTCAGAAAATCTAACATTTGGCAGAACAAACACTGGGACTTTGCTGACTAAATGTCAACTATTTTCAGTAGTTTAACCACCTCCTCCTCTCCTCCCACGCTGCGCCAGCCTTTAGATTCTGCATATAGATCTGAACTATGAATCTCATCCAATATGTGTTCAAGCTCATCAAAATTTATCTGTTTGATTATTTTGTTTCATTCCTCTCATATCTGTGAATCTTAGTAACAGAGCAGCATTGCACAAAGTGTTTTTATTGTTCATATAATATTACCTTTTTGACCTTTTTGTAGAATGAGTTATTCTACCTTTTTTTGGAACATATTGCTTCAGGTCACACTTTTTAATAGAAATATTTCTGTTATGTTAAATTAATGAAAACATGGCTACTTTTTAACTTCTCTCTCTGCTTTTGTTTTTTATTTATTTATTTATTTTAGTTCTTCTGGAGGCCATTACCGGCCAACCTGGAGGCCCAGGAGAGAGGCCCTGAACATYGACAGCATCTTTACCCGACAAAGAGACTCATCTCTGGGCTACAACTCTGTATTGGACCCCACTCTCCCTCCAGCTCCTCAGGAGCCTCCCCCCTTGGTGGGATCACAGCCAGGGCTGGAGGACAAGAGGGAAGTCGGGGAGGTGGGATTCGGGCTGGTCGGACAGCCCCAGTCTTTGGGCGGTGGACGGACGATGGGTCCCCCTGCTCCACCGCCTCTGAGAGGGGTGGAGCACCAGCCACGTCTGATCCAGAGGATGGAGAGTGGCTACGAAAGCAGCGAGAGGAACAGCAGCAGTCCTGACAGGTAGGACTCTCACAAATACCCATTACTGTCTATGGCTCTCAGTTTTTGTTGTTCATCATGCTTCCAGCCTCCTGCTTTCTGTCGCCTCCCCGTGCTTTTTTTTTTCACCTCATCAGCTTGAAACAGAAATGTGACATTAACAAGAATAAATGATGCAGAAGATGTGCTCCATAACAACGAATTAAGCAGCAAACACATTTTTCTGTCTGTATTGTTTYGTTTATTAACCCCCACCCCCTCCTGACACACACACACTTTTTGCCTCCCCAACTTCCCATCTTCACCCTCTTGGCGTCTTCCCACAGGGAAGTGGGGCAACAAAAACGGGCGCTGATGTCAGGACCTTCGTGGCGTTCGGTGCCCAAGTCAAAAAGCAGCGGGGCCATCATGCAGGAGCTGCCGGCGCCCAGCTGGGTCGGCGGCACAAATACAGGTTTGCATCGTTTGCACGCGTTTACGTACTGTTCAGTTTTTTTTTTATTTGATTGTTCATCATAATTCGCTAGTTTAAATGAGGCCTTTAATTTTTCAGGCTCAGGGCGCAGTGAGCTGGATGAGCTGCAGGAGGAGGTGGTGAGGAGAGCTCGCCAGCAGGAGCAGCAGAAGAGGAAGGAGGCTGAACAGGAGGCAGCCAAGGGATTTAACCCCAGACCCAGCAAATTCATGGACCTGGACCAGCTCCAGCACCAGGGTATGGATGAAATAAGAAAAAACCTTGTGTGTGTTGGAGGGGGCAGGGTTAGAAGTTTTTAATAGGAAAAACAACTTAAAGGTTGGTGTTTAGCTCTCTGTTATAATTTCTCTTTGTGGAAATGGTGTACCTTATGAGGTACGAAGGATGACCAAAAAAAAGGGTATAACTTTAGGGATGTGGATAAAAATGTGTTACCTCTCACCAATATCAGCTCTGACAGGGAATACAAAAAGAGCATGATAAACAATTATAAAAATACCAAAATCATGTGATTATCTCAAGTATTAAGCAATTTATGTTGTTCTTGTTTGAGCAATCAAGCGCTTGATTTCGGACATAATAAATAGCTGAACCAATTGGGCATTTGTGACCATGTTGCTTTGTTTTTTGCTAATACTTTAAGAGATCACAATGAAATTTTCAGAAATATTCTACCTTATGCTCTTTTGTCAGTGTAGCAGTCCCTCAGACCCAAGAAAACACAGAGAGCTTCGACGGGTGCAGTAGATTCTTATTTACTTCTTTCCAAACAAAGTTGTTGAAGTGCACTGAACATGTGCTTCGAATACACCGTGAAAACTAAAAGAAAATAAAAYACATTTTGCTTAAGTGCTGTTTGACACAAAACATTACATTATAATAACGCTAACTTCACAATAGAGCTCTAAATATGTACCTCGCTCCGCTGTCCAAGGGCTGCAAAGTTCATGGCGGCRAAGTCCGCGCCGCGCTGCCTTTAGCCTGCTCTCAAGAATGTGCGCTACAGTCCAGAGTCATTAAGATGAAGAATATCCTCCTCTTCCTCTTGTCCATGGGATATTTCAGCCCAAAGCGCTGACTGACAGGAGACTAGCAACAGTTCCTCTTAATTTACAGTTTTAAATGAAGGCACTAACTCAACATGAACCARACTACAGCGCCCCCCACTGGGTACTATGGGTAACAACTTAGAATATGCATAAGACATGGAACGGGCATTTACACTCCCACCAAATCATGTATGATGAGAGCTTATTAACGATTCATGCATGGTTTTAAGCATGACAAATGGACGTTGAAGTGAACAAACAAAAATACAGTTAACTCACACATTAACCTTCAGCAATATAATATCTGATGTGAGACTAATGAGCGTCAGTTAGTGACTTTCTAAAAGAACWACAAGTTTTTGAACAGGTCTTTCAATAATGTGAGGTTTGTGTGTTGTACCCTGCTTCTTTGCTGGATTTCGATCACCAACTTGAAGTTTGACTCTGCGCACCAACCCATCATCCTCTTGTGGTGCTTCAACAACTCGACCCAGTTGCCACTGACTTCTGGGAAGCATGTCTTCCTTTATGATGACGATGTCATTTACCTCAAGATTGCGACGAGGCAGGTGCCATTTTTGTCTTGTGGATATGTTCAGAAGATATTCCACTTTCCACCTACTCCAAAACTGTTCAGTTAGATACTGCACTCTGCRCCATCTTTTTCTTGCATACAAGTCTTCCTTCACAAACTTTCCAGGAGGAGGCAGTGCAACCTTTGATTTCATTAATATGAGATGGTTTGGAGTTAGAGGTTCAGGTGATTTGGGGTCATTGATTCCATCAATGCTTAGTGGTCGGCTATTGATTATAGACATTGCCTCATAAAACAGTGTTCTTAGAGAAGCGTCATCCAGCCTRCCTTGTGATTGAGCAATGGTGGCATTGAGAACACTGCGGATGGTTCGAATCTGTCGTTCCCACACACCTCCTGCATGGCTGGCAGATGGGGCATTAAATACGAACTCGCACTGTTTATCTGCAAGGAAAGCCTGCAGGGCATTTCTGTCACATTCATTGAGAGCCTCTTTTAGCTCATTTTTGGCCCCAATGAAATTTGTACCTTGATCGCAGTACAGCTTACAGACAGCTCCTCTTAAGCTGATAAAGCATYGTAGGCCATTAATGAAAGAGTCTGTAGACAGGTTTTCTACCATTTCAATGTGGACTGCGCGTGAGGAAAGGCAGGTAAAGAGGAGTCCGTACCTCTTTTGCTCTTTGCGACCTTGCTTTGTGGTGAATGGTCCGAAACAATMCATTCCACTGTAAATGAAAGGATCTGAGACTTCAACTCGTTCCTTTGGTAGTTCAGACATGCGCTGTTCTTCAGGAGACCGCCGAAGTTTTCGACATTGAACACATCTGCTTATTAGCTTTGCAACTTCTTTGCTCCCACCAATTACCCAAAACCCATTTGCTCTGATCTCCATGAGCGTCTGGCTTCGGMCTTGATGACAAATCTTTGAATGAAAGTGAGACATGATCAGGTTTGTAATGTGATGGTCCTTTGGTAGAATAATAGGGTGTTTCAAACCTTGGCAGAGTGTTGWCTTTTTTAGTCTTCCTCCAACCCGGAGAAGTCCCTGATCTACAACGGGATCTAGTTGAAAGAGAGGGCTTGAACTTGGGAGACTATCATTTACTTTCAACGCTCTCAGCTCTTGAAAGAAGGATTGCTGTTGGAGGAGTTTTATTATTATGTCAGCTGCTCCCTTGCGTTCATCTGCTGTTATGACACTGCCATATTGGGGTTTTTTTGGTCTCAGTCTTTTTATTCTTGCCACTACTTTAAGGAGCATTGACCAGCTAGAGAACCTGTCGAAGCGTCTGAGGATAGTGTCTTGTTCGCTTGTTTGAGTCGTAAAGGTTTTGACCGCTTTAACTTCTGGATCACCTACCAACAGTTCAGCTGAGGGGGCAGCTGAGTAGGAAATCTCTTGTTCCCACAGAAACTTTGGGCCAGACAACCAGCAGGTTGTCATAAYCTCTGATGCACCAAGGCCTCTAGAGGCATAGTCCGCCGGATTCTGAGCCGTGTCAATGTAGTGCCACTGTTTGGGATCTGTAGTTTCCCTAATCAACTGGACACGATTTGCTACAAAGACGTGAAATCTTCGTGCCTCGTTGTTGATATATGCCAAGACTACTTGGGAGTCAGTCCAAAAGAACTCTTCATCAACATTAATCTCAAGCTCTGATTTTAGCATAACGCTCATCTTAGCTGAAGTGACTGCAGCTGACAGTTCGAGTCGGGGAATGCTTATGACCTTGGTAGGTGCGACTCTAGCTTTTGCTATAACCAGACTACAGTGCACTTTGCTGTCATCACTTATGAACCTAATGTAGGAACATGCTCCATAGCCTATGTTACTGGCATCAGAGAAGTGATGCAGTTCCACTTTAGCAATGTCTCTTAGATCAGGTGGATGGTAGCATCTGGGTACTACGATTGATTTCAGTTTTTCCAAATCATTTTTCCAGTCCTCCCACCGTGAGCGCAAGTTGTCTGGAATGGGGTCATCCCATTCGGTACCTCTACGGCAGAGCTCCTGTAGGATACTTTTGCCACTCAAAGTGAATGGAGCTACGAABCCCAGGGGGTCATACAAAGATGAGATAACTGACAGTAGGCTCCGGCGAGTAGGAGGTTGGTCCTTTGTGTTTACACTGAAGTTGAAGGTGTCATTTTTGACTGACCANCTACAGTCCAGAGTCATTAAGATGAAGAATATCCTCCTCTTCCTCTTGTCCATGGGATATTTCAGCCCAAAGCGCTGACTGACAGGAGACTAGCAACAGTTCTTCTTAATTTACAGTTTTAAATGAAGGCACTAACTCAACATGAACCAGACTACAGCGCCCCCCACTGGGTACTATGGGTAACAACTTAGAATATGCATAAGACATGGAACGGGCATTTACAGTCAGAATCATCTTGTATCCAAAAAACAAAATACTTTACAAAATCCAGTAAAAGTTGCAGAAATGTACAGTATAAAGTAATGTTAAAAGGCTTGAGTCACCAAATTGCAACACCAAATCAACTGAATGAAAACCATTTAAAAACCATGTGGACATTTTGTTTTGTAAACAAAGCCCCTCAACCAATGACAGTGTGTGAAATGTGTCACGTGATGAAGACCACTGTCAACACATGAACTAAATCACTTTCACCATGGGCAGTTCTATAGAGGATAAAATATACTTTGACCTTTCAGATGATTATAAAGTTTGAAACAAAGGTAGCTAAAATAACTTTCTTTACATAAGTGTACCTATTTAAGGGGTTCCTGTACAAAATTTGTGGGATTTATTCATGTTGAATTTGACGTCAGCTGGGATTCTCGGAAGTTGTTGAAATAACAAAACAGTGATTAGAGTGATAATTAGCTAGGTCACCCTCAGTGCAGCATTGTGCAATCTGGTCACAGAAAACGGTAGCTGCTGGTGTCGACACGTCAACATCCCTAATTGCTGTCACTTAACGAAACAAAAAGCAAGATTTAAAAAAAATTTGAAACTTCCAATTTATACAGTGCAGTGAATGTGGTTTGATTTAAAAGTAAATTTAGGTGATTTATGGTGAAAAAGAGGAGACTTATAGTCTTAGATTGTGGACAGAAATTGTACATTTTTTGACAGTATTTTCCCTTTAAGGTCAAATTATCACCTGTTTTTAAGGAACGGGCCTGTGTGCTTTTTGGTCATTCAATTTTTGATTCAAAAATAGATGTTGGAAAAACAAAAATGGATGGATAGTTTGACATTTTCTTAACAGGTGTCAGCTGATAGTTTGTACATCRCCAATGATTCAAACTGTTTCCTAGAGCAGTGATTTCCAACCAGGGGTACATGTATCCCTTGGAGTATGTGAGCATATTTCAAGGGGTACGTGGAAAAATTTTCCAGGTGTGTAAAAWTTTTTAATAAAAATAGTAATCAGTTGTGGTACATAGTTTTGGAGAATCATCACTACGTTTGACTGAAGGGCTAGTAGTGATATGACAAAATGGCTCAGGGGGTACACAAGTCTAAAAAAGTTGAGAACCACTGGTGTAAAGTCCTGAAATTTTCCAGCACTTTCAAGACCTTRGACAGTTCCTTCAGCCCTTCACACTGTCTAAAGTCCTGAAACATGCCAGCACTTTCTGGACCTTGGACGGTTCCTTCAGTCCTACAAACTGTATAAATTCCTGAAACATTCAAGCACTTTCAGGACCCTGGACAGTTCCTTCAGCCTTTCACACTGTCCAAGGTCCTGAAACATTCCAGCACTTTCAGGACCTTGGACAGTTCCTTCAGCCCTTCACACTGTCCAAGGTCCTGAAACATTCCAGCACTTTTAGGACCATGGACAGTTCTTTCAGCCCTTCACACTGTCCCAGGTCCTGAAACATTCCAGTGCTTTCAGGACCTTGGACAGTTTCTTCAGTCCTTCACACTGTCTAAAGTCCTGAAAGATTCYAAAACTTTCAGGACCTTGGACAGTTCCTTCACTCCTTCACACTGTCCAAGGTCCTGAAACATTCCAGCATTTTCAGGACCTTGGGCTGTTCCTTCAGCCCTTCACACTGTCTAGAGCTCTGCAGCAAGTTCCACAGGACAGCGTTGAGTTGTCATGATGACAGTGTTAAATTTTCTGTTCAATGAAAACAAAAATATCGGACGTGTTTCCATTTGTGGAGTATACAATGAAAATAAAATCCTTTTTTCAATATCTGCTTTTAAAACAAAAATTGAAAGACCAAAAAGTTCAAGGACTGAAATGGTCACAACTTAGAACTTTCTGTCTGACTTTAACTTTGTGCTCATTCCCATCTGTTGATCTGTCTCTCCATCTGTCTCACTTCACTGGTGTATTTTTTATTTATTTATTTAATTTGGCAGTTATATTTGTTTGTTTCATGTGAATGCAAATGTGTGTGTTTGTGTGTATTTGTGTGTATTTAATGGTTCCAGCTGTGTTCGGTGTACCTGAACAAAGCAGAAAACAAATTACTGCCTCGAGTTCAGCTCTTAACTAACGTGGGAACTCCTGTGGGACGTTCACTGACCAGAACAGAGTTGGGAAATTCATTTTTGCTTCAAATCCAGTTCAGTTTCAGAGCTGTACTGTCCCCAGGCCCAAATGTGTGTGTTTATATTCTATCTATAATAATTGTGTATGTCTTTGTGCATCTGCTGCCTCCTTGTGTGAGTTTCATGATCTTAGACAAAAGACTGCTGAAGCGATTCTTTCGAGGTCCCTCAACAAATTTCGYACGCTCAGGTCAATTTCCATCAAAGCCAGCGAAGATTGGTAAACAGCTTGTTGCAGCAGTTGTATCATTTCCTTTGTGGCTCCAGAGAATATCTGTGTTCCAGTGTAATTACTCAACTAACAGCCTGTGTGTAATCTTATTCTGGACTAGGGGACCACAAAGTTGTCCGACAGGCGTCGACTTGAGGAGACTCTGAAATGTATCAGGATGGGGGGTGGGGGGTCTAACAGTTAGTGTTTATATATAGCTTCATTGGAAGTGTCAGAGGGTCCATAACTGGGACAGCTGTGATCTGAGGCATCACATTTTCAAATCACCCATCTGTTCTGTTTCTATGGACATCTTTTGCATAGCTTTGTGAAAATGTCTCATTTTGGTGCAAACATGCACCTTGACTTAACCTTTCATTTGCTTTACTTTTAATGTTTTTGGTGACTAAATGTAAAAAGTAACTAAAAATTAGGACATTTTATCTGTAAAAGCATTATTTTAAAAGATAATGGATGTCAGGACACGTCTAACCACAGGCATGATTGAGCAAAATATATGGTCAGGGCCACGGTTTGACAGAGAATTATTCTTTTTTTTAATAGCGCTCAAATCGTGGCTGAATGTAGATGGATAGGATCGTCGGTATGTCAGATCACATTATTTTTTAAAGAGCCTGAGTCAAATACTTCAGCAGCAGCTGCTTCTGTTGACCTGGACTTTAATAAATTCATTCATGTTTCCCAGAGGATGAATCCAACTGATTTTAGTAGTCCCCTGACTTTACTATCTCCACTAACAAGGTATAAATGTTATCATAGCCAACACATCTACATCAGCATCAGATGTTTTTTTGTGCTTGGTTAGCAAATGTAAGCACTCTGCTGTTGATGCTGTTACACTGTTTAAACACCAGTCAGAATGGACCTCAAGGCAAAGTTCAGCCTCTCAGACTCTTTTTAAATCTGTTGTTTAGTTAGTCTTTTGAATGTATCTGCACCCAGAATAAGTTATTTTTTTAAACTTGACACTTTATAGTATTCATTTATTCATGAAAGCATTTTTAAAAGGATTATACCAGTTATGACWGTTTCAGGTAACAATTCAAGAAAGCCATCCGGTCGCCAAATGTTTGATTTGAATTTGCTTGCTGTGAGTGACCAGAGGTGGGGACTCGAGTCACATGAATTGGACTCGAGTCATTAATATTATGACTTTAGACTTGACTTGAAAAAGAAAACATACAGAGACTTGTGACTTGATATGGACTTTTACACTGATGACTTGAAATAGGCGTGACCTTGTCAACTTGAAAAGACTTGATATATGTTTTGTGTGGTTTTTTATGAAAATGAATAAACTTTTTAAAATAAAAAAGTAAAAAAATAAAATATTTTACCCAAAATCTAAAGTTTACAACACATTATTTATAAAGTGGGCCCCATTAATTAATTTCACTCATTACTCATCAACAAAGGCAGACCGTCCATCTTTTTTTTCACACTCTGCACATGTGTGTTTGTGAGCTGCAGAACAGCAAATCAAATTAATCTGATATTTAAAAATAGAAAATTCTAGTTTAATGGAAGACTATTTCTGCTGCTGAATTTACTCGAATTGTGCAATATAGAGGTGAAATTTAAAAATGATTTTTTAAATTACTTTATAGGTTGAGCTGTGCATGTTTCATCACAATTTGAGAGAAAAATACAGATAAAAAAGTGTATGATCTATTATTCACATTTAACATAACTGCAACATTGGAAAAAAATATTCTAAAGGACTTGAAGTTCCAAGTTTCAGGCTTGACTTGACAGATGCTTGTCTTGTTTAGAGACTTGACTCAGGATTTTAAGATAAAGACTTGAGACTTACTTGAGACTTGCAAAACAATGATTTGGTTCTACCAAACAGCCAAAACAACAACAATAATAACATTGTTTCAGCAATTTAAATCACGAATTGAGCATTTTTGAGTTGAGCTTTATTTGTGACTTGAAATCATTCTGTGTTAAAATCATTTATATTTTGTCCCTGCATTCACAAATCATGTTTGTCTTCATTTGACCACACTTTTTGTTTAAAGAACTGTGTGTGTGTGTGTGTGTGGTGGGGGGGATTTGAGTACACTGAATGTGTGAATATTTTCCCTCAACTCATCACTAATTAAATCAATATCAGGGATTATTGTGTTGTGTCCTGTCTGTCCTACTGCGTGTGTGTGTCTCAGTACTTTATTCACCTGAGACTCCCTCCCACACACACAGACACACACCACACACACACACACTATGAGTACACTCAACCTTGATAAATGGAAAGGACGGCTTGTGAACAAACAGACGGCGTCTCGATCAGTGCAATTATGTTACAGAATTTAGGTTCCTGCATCCGTATTGATGGATTCAGCCCGGCTACTATTCTGCCGCAGTGCTTCAGAGAACGATAGATTACACAAAAAAAATCCTACCTTTCTTTGTTTAACCTGTATCTATCAAATGTTTGTTCTCTTTTTCTTCTAATCTTTTTAAAACCCATCTAACACCAATCATTTCACACTCACAAGGCCATTTAACACAACATTTTACATTTATTAATAACAGAGCACTATTTTTATAATGCTCCAACCACTAAGAAAAGCTCATTTAAGTTCTTAAACAGACATATGATAAAGTTCAAGCCTTTATGCTTATTTGCTCTGAATGACTGTCAGTTACTGCCACACAAAGCATTCGCTTAATATCTGTAAAAAAAAAAAAGTTATTGACATTTTTATGTTTCCTAAGATTGATTTGCTGCAGCAGCCTTTCTGATTCTAGTTGACTCCAAAAGTTAACGAGTTCTAGATGCTTATCCAGTAATTACTTTCTGAAAGTTTCATTAAAATCCACTCAGTCATTCATGAGATGATTAGCTAACAGTCACATGAACACATGCAAAAGCATTATCACTCATTTGCCTTCGGTGGCAATAACGAAATGAACAGACAACAACTGTGGTGTAGACATGCATAAAAATGTCGCTTCACATCATTCAGAATGCCCTGATTTTTAATTTGAGCTTCAGTCCTTTTAGTTTTGGAAACGGCAAATCCCAGCTGAAAGAATTTTGGGGTAATAATTTGGAAAAAAAAAGTCCTGCACTGCAGCTCCTAAATTCCTGTAAAGCCAGCCAGAATCTGAGCAGCTGCTAAATGTTTTATCAGGTTTCTGCAAAGTGTAATAAGAAGAGCTCACTCTTACTGCTACAGACAGCAGAATTTTAAACCCACTGATCAGAGGTTTCTAAACAAAATGCTTCTTTTGAGCTTTTTGCTAACTTGTCTCAGTTTGCTGATGCCTGTAAGATGAAGCGCTATCTGTGCAGAAACCAAACCCACGTCAGGTTGGAACTTAAAGTAAAATAGAAACGCTCATAAAGGCTGACAGAGCAGGAGCATAAAGCATGAAGCCCCTACCTCTACATATAAACAAACCAAAACAAACCAAAAAACTCTTTCTGCTCTGCTTCTTTTCTCTAACCTCTCCGTCTTCCTTGTAGTCTCATCCTCCTTCTGCTCACTCACACTTTTCATAGCCGCTCTGTCGTTACATCTTTTCTCTTTTTTATCTCCCACTCTCTTGTTAACATCCTCAGCTGTGCTCAGACCCCTGCATGAGGCTAACGCGCATAGCGGATTGGCTGTAGCTGCGTGCATGAGGAGCACTGGGGGCCCAATCAAACGCAGGCAGGAACAGGAAACGGAACCGGACATGGGAAACGTCCACCCTCAGGGGCCTCGCAGGTACCACCACTGTCCCGTCCCCCCACGTGTCCACAGAGGTACCTTGTACCCTCCTCCTCCCCGTTCCCTCACATGATTTCTGTTGTCAGCTCTCAGTTGTTGGAGCTGTTGTCTCACAGCTGGAAGGTCACAGGTTCGCCTCCCGGACTTTCTGTGTGGAGTTTGCATGTTTTTCTATGAGTACTCCACTTTCTTTTCACATGCATGTTAGGTTAACTGGTGAATTGTTCCTAGGTGTGAGAGGGGCTGTGAGTGGCTGTTTGTCTCCATGTGGTCCTGTGATGTTTTTTTGACCTGTCCAGGGATACGCCACCTCTCATACAGCTAGAGATACACACTAACTGTCCCCAAATGTCAGAAAGGTTCAGGCAGGTAAAAAATGATGGATGGATGGATGGATGGATGGATGGATGGATGGATGGATGAATAGAAGGATGGATGGATGGATGGATGAATAGAAGGATGGATGGATGAATAGGTAGACGGATGAATAGATGGATGGATGGATGGATGGATGGATGGATGGATGGATGGATGGATGGATGGATGGATGGATGGATGGACAGTGGGAGGATGGATGGATGGATGGAGGATGGATGGATAGATGGATGGACAGTGGAAGGACGGATGGATGGATGGATGGATGGATGGATGGATGGATAGATGGATGGACAGTGGAAGGACGGATGGATGGATGGATGGATGGATGGATGGATGGATGGATGGAGAACTGTTGTAAAACCAACCTTAAATCTCTCCTGGATAGAAATAAAAACCTTCCATGAGTTTCTTCATTTCTCTCTGGCTCAGATCCCAGAACTGGTCCCTCTGATCCCCCAGAGATGCAGTCCCACATCCTGCTGTTTGTGTGTCTGAATGTATGTTCTCAACAGCACACCCTTAAGTTACTTCTTATCCCCTTTGTGTATTTGTTRCAATGCAGTAAAAGCTTGCTTTGCTGAATTGCCATTGAGACTAAAAAACAAAAAACAGAGCGAGCAGGACTTTCTCTCTGCGCTTCACTACTTCCCCTCATTGTTGCTGTGCTTCTCCTCGTAGCTGTGTGCTGCCGAGGCTTCCCTCTGCTCTTTGTGTGCTGCTGATTTGTCCTTCTGTGAACTGTAAAGCTGCAGTCCGTCTGTGCTTCTGTCCTGTGTGCTGCTGTGTGACTGCAGTCAAACATCCTGTGCTGGGGTTTGTCTTCTTGCTCTTTGCTGCTGAGTTTGTGTGTTGCAGTGACCGGAAAGTTGTTAATTTTTTTCAAACAATAGAAGGGATGTACTGGAAAATCTTAGATTAATTATAACAGTAACAACTTTTAAACTGTAAAAGAAGGAAACCCAAGATGAAAAAGGGTTTTATGTTCTAATTTAATTAGTTCCAATGTTTACTCAAATAGTTTTTCATATAAATTAAATGCATTTTTGCCCACACTCAACGTAAACAACTTTGAATCTTGACTTTTGATTTAGCTTCATTAGGCTGGCTGTACAGATATATACACATAAAACCAGGCWTTGACTCGTGGAATTGTAGACTGTATTTTATCTACTAAATTTACATAATTAAAGGAACGGTGTTCAACATTTAGGCATATCTTTTAGCAGAATTTAAGATAATCACTAATAAAAATTATTAAAATCACATCTAATCATTACAACGGGGCCAACATTTTGCACCTCCATGTTTCTACAGGAGAGGACTAAATAGCTAACGGTTATCAGTCAGAATTAGAATCAGAATACTTTAATGATGTAAGCATTAGAGATAAAGTATGTAGGGAGAAATATTACAGCACACAAGGAAGAAATAATTATAAAAACTCTGGAGAACCAAATGAACACAGAGAACAACAGAAATAACAGTGTAAATAGGAATAACAATAGTGTAAATAGGAATAACAACAGTGTAAATAGAAATAACAACAGTGTAAATAGAAATAACAACAGTGTCAATAGAAATAACAACTGTGTAAATAGGAATAACAACAGTGTAAATAGGAATAACAACAGTGTAAATAGAAATAACAACAGTGTAAATAGAAATAACAGTGTCCATAGAAATAACAACTGTGTAAATAGGAATAACAACAGTGTAAATAGGAATAACAACAGTGTAAATAGAAATAACAACAGTGTAAATAGGAATAACAGTGTAAATAGAAATAACAGCAGTGTAAATAGGAATAACAACAGTGTAAATAGAAATAACAACAGTGTAAATAGGAATAACAGTGTAAATAGAAATAACAACAGTGTAAATAGGAATAACAGTGTAAATAG